CTTACCCAGACCCCTGCCTAGACCATGACCAATCTTTGAAAGAGGATTACCGCGCAGGTTATCCATCTCGATGACATCGGATCCCTCCTCCTGCACATCGGCAAGATCACCCTCCGGTTTCTTTTCATTTTCTACCACCTCTTCTTGCACACTATGCGGAACCCTTGGTGTGTTAGCGCTCAAGCCTCCTGGGCCTTCAGCTCGTCGTTGAGCTTCTAAGTTCTGAGCCTTCGCTTGCTCTGCTCGCTGAGCCTTGTTCGCCCTGCCCTCAGAGGTGAAGCGTTCCCTCAGGCCGCCTTCCTTAGCCTGTCTCAACTGCTTACGCTTGGCTTCCCGAATCAGGTCACTCTCGGCCGCCTCAAGCTGCTTGTGGATGGCATCGCGTTTGTGGATCTTGGCGAGAAGTGGTGTGAAATCCCGTGTCAACCAGACATTTCTAATGCCCCCCGGAAATACATCAAACAACCCTCTCAGAGCCTCTTCGCTGAGCCACTTGTCCGGTATGGAGCTCACAAGGACCGTATTTGCCGAGGCTCGCAATCTGTGTTCGGCGCTGGTCAGGTAGTCCTGTCGGATCTTGACGTATACCCGAAGCTCAGCGAAGAAGACGCCGCAAACCCAGATGATGACGAGAAGGGCGAGAACCAGATGAGCCCAACGTCGGTGTTGCTTACTCGGGGCAACATTGCCCCATGCCAGCGTGTCCAGTCCGGTTGGTCTATTGAGATCACTGCCGTTGATTGGCTTGCCGTTTTCGTCTTTCAAGTCGTCAACAACCTCCTGGCCGATTCCGCCGACAAAGTTGATTGGTACCAATATCGGAATGACCACGAGGGCGATAGGAATAAAGATGATCAGTAAAGTCTGTAGGTATCGAAGGAAGAAGTAGGCGTCGAGTCCACATTTCTTGATGATTTCGCGATCCCTAAACGCCATAAGTTTGTAAAGCAATGCAAAATGACTGGCGGGTGGTGGCTCTGTTCTTTCGCGTTCGGGAACTAGGTAGGTTTTCGGCTTGCTGTCATCGAGGTGTACGGTTAGCGCCTTGGAAAGGAAGAGAAAATACGGTGTAAAGGAGAGATAAATACGCACAAGATCCTGACCAGTTTGTTCCGTAATAGTAGAAAGAAGCCCATCTGCACTCCAAAGACGATCAACGAAGCGGCCAGCGCAGTCACGAAGGCCACCAAACTGATCCCACTTGCCTGCTGTGCGAATCCGGCCTGCCCTTCTGCTGCCTCAGACGTTGTTCGCGCCGGTCTACTACTTGTTGTTGTAGCGGCTGATGTTGAGGTAGTCGATGGTAATTCTGATGACGACAATATCGTTTCTATTATGGATGTCGACGCCGACGCTATCGTCGATAACGTCTCCGTCACCGAGTCGGTGACCTCTGGGGTACTCATAGTGAGGTGTTACGAAATAAGTTGTATCGATCGTATTATTGTTGGAGCTCAGCAGCGTGAACCTGCTGCGGCGAGAGCAATGGCCAGCTAAAGCGGTCCATGCACATAGGAGAGGTTGTCACGGTGTGATGTTGGAGATCCCGTCGAAGGCGCGTTGCAGACGGGAGCGGTGGGAGTTTTACTCAACAAGAGTAGGACGGGGTTTGAGCAATAATAAAACTAGTAGAACTGCGGCGTTCAAGTACGGGGTATGACGAGGTGAGACTGGACGGCCGGCGACTTGGTGCGCTTGTCGATCCCATGCCGGCCAGCACTCATGAATATGTTGAGAGAAAAAAGAACTCCAGGGTCGAAATGATGATGCGGTTGACCCCTGCGTGTCCTGAGTGCCCTGGAAGCTTTTTGAGGCCCCCAAAGGCGGCTTGAAACCCATGGGAACCTTGCTAACCAGCTGGGTCGTCTTGAGCATTTTGGCCAAAACAAGGGTGTGATTGGCTGCATCTCAGGAACTGCAAGTGACGTCGGCGGCTGCCCGGGCGCACCTGTGCCACTCTGTGCCTGGCAAGAAACCAAGATCTCCCTGCTGCGCGCTCACCATGTCGATGGAGTCGGTAAACGGATACATAGACGCGCGCTTCACTTTTTTCCCTTTTGTTGAAATTTACCAGCAAATCTGCTAGGCTATGACTTCTATCCTATAGCGACCCTCCATCTGTTTTTAGGTACTGATTGCTTTGTCCCGGGGAATCGTCCCTCTTCCCGTGAGACATGTTTCAAGCCTTCCCTTCCCGCGTGGTTGGGCGGGCCGTGGTCATTCATCTGAAGAGACCCACAGCTTGTTCTTTGGTGGGGGAGGCCCGTCTCGGGCAGCACAATGGCCAACATTGGCAGCAGGTTAAAAACATGGCATCAATACGATTAGTGTGCGGGCCATGAGGTAGTGCTTTATGCGTTCGCGGCATCTCGACCTCCGCAGTCCCGGTTACCCGGTTAGGATTTCTGGATATGTTGGCATTGCAGTGTTCTTCGAGTGCTACCTCTCATCCCAGCAAATGATAGAATAAGATTCTCATCCCGTCTTGTCTTATAGCATCTGAAGTATGCTGACATGGCCGATGACGGCAATGGCCGCTCAAAATGCGGGGGATAAGCCTGTGGCACTTGTACCAAAACCTAAAATGCGCGGGAGTTTTAAAATTCCCGATTTCGATCTCATCCTGTTTTCTACCACATGATGGCAATGGGGCGTGTGCCCTTCATTGAGAAAACTCTGGCCAAAACGACGAGAATACCGTCAATCATATTCTAACTTTATCTCTATGCAGATCAACCTGCGGATTAACAGTAGCTACGGCGGGTGATGGGCGGCCAACCGTGGTCAAAGCCATATAGCCTGCACCTCAAGATCCCAGAGCAACCGGCAGGACCGGCCTGGTATTGTTTCCACGCTGCATTTCCAAAGCCTCAACCGCGAGCTCGGCCAATCCATTTTCCTCAGCTTCCTCGGGGAAGATCCACGACCCGTTCCAGACTTCTCCCGCAGCCGGCGGGAGACAAAGTTTTCCCCGCATTCTCACCCCACACTTCCGATCTGAACCCTTTGACAGCTGGTAGAGAAGCTTTGTTCAGGAGCCCAGAATGCCGGATTTCTGCCAGTGAGAAACAGGGGAATGGAGAGTCAGCTGGCCCAGAGGAACATCCATCCATCTGCCATCCCCATTGCCGTTCCGCTGTTGATCCAACAGTGCGAATGTCCACATCAAATTTGTGTTGGATATTTCCCACCAGGTCAGCTGCCGAGGCATGGGGTCCCTGGGTGATGTAGACAGCTATATATCCGTGGTAATCATTTCTTTTCTCATGGTTCATGTTGACTGCTTCCAACTCTTGATCTAGTGACATTCTCCCACCTCACCTGTCTTAAGTCTCGTCAAATACCACGCCCCTTTTCTGAACCAAAACACCCCTGAATCAAATTGACACAACAACAACAACAAAATGCCACACTCTACCACAGCAGACGTCTATGACCTGCGCATCGTCGTCATTGGCGCAGGTACGTTCTTCTAGATGTAGATCAAATATATACCCGAATATCTAACAACCCTCACAGGCATGGGTGGCCTAGGCACCGCTCTAGCCTTCGCCAAAAAGGGCTTCAAAAACATCAACGTCTACGAGACCGCTTCCAACCTAGGCTTCGTCGGCGCCGGCATCCAAATGCCACCAAACGTAATGCGCGTCCTCGGCCGCCTCGGAGTAGCCGCCGAGATCGAAGCCGAAGCCACCAACGTCCAAGCCACCAGCATCAGGCAAGGCAGCACCAACGAAGAACTCGCCCACGTCGCCATGCCCGACATCCGCGAGAAATACGGCTTCCCCCACCTCACCGGCCACCGCTCCAACCTCGCCGGCTCCCTTTATAATGGCTGTCTCAAAGAACCCTCCATCAAATTCCACTTCAGCACCTCCCTCGTCAACATCACCTCCTTCTCCCCCAAACCCACCCTCGTCTTCAAGTCCCGAGACCAACCCCAAGAATTCACAGTAGAAGCCGACATCCTCCTCTCCGCCGACGGAATCAAATCCCCCACCCGCTCCCTCCTCCTCCGCGCCTCCCACAACCTAACCCAAACCGAAGAAGAAGACACCGGCCAAGCCGCCTACCGCATCATGCTCCATCGCTCCCAACTCGCCCCCTTCCCGGAACTCATCTCCCTCCTCGACTCCGACACCGTCGTCCGCTGGGTAGGCGAGCGCCGCCACATCATCGCCTACCCCGTCTCCAACCACAACATCTACAACATCTCCACCGCCCACCCCGACACCAACTTTGCCTCCGCCACTTCCGCAACCTACACCACCAAAGGCTCCAAATCGCAAATGCTTTCCGTCTTTGAAACTTTCTGCCCGTTAGTGCAGGACATGCTCAACCTCGTCCCCGACGGCGAAGTCTGCGAGTGGAAGCTCCGCATCCACAAGCCCCTCCCTACCTGGGTCCACGGGTCTGTTGCGTTAGTAGGTGACGCCTGCCATGCTACCTTGCCGCATCTGTCCCAGGGAGCGGCGATGGCGATTGAAGACGGTGCCGTTCTCGCTGAGGTGGTCAGCAAAATCCCAGCGGACAAGATTAACGACCAGGAGACGGTGACAAAGACGCTGAAAGTGTACGAGCTGCTAAGAAAGCCGCATTGCACCGCGCTCGTGGATCTGGCTACCCATTCCGGCAGGGTGCTGCATCTGGGAGAGGGCAAGGCGAAGGAGGAGAGGGATAAGCAGTTCAAGGAGAATGGGAAATCGGGGTCGGTTCCGGACAAGTGGGCTAGTCCGGATGTGCAAAAGATGATTTATGCGAATGATTGTGTGAAGGAGGCTGGGGAGAGGTTTGGGGAGCTGTTTGCTAGTTTGTAAAGAGATGATGGATTGTTGTTGTAGATATAATGAAATGATAAATACTTCCAAAATATTGTCCGGAGAGGAGTACCGTTATCAATCGAGTGAAAACCGAAAGATACACAGAGAAAAGGAGACTGTTAGTGACCTGCAAAGGACGCAGATCAGTCATGTCGAGTGACATAAAAAAGCAAAAGAAACCGACCATGCTGGGACTCGAACCCAGAACCTTTACCAGCAGGAGATTTAACCACTCATAACAAGTGAATTGAAACCGGAAAGTAACGCGCTACCATTGCGCTACACGGCCTGTTAATGTTTTCGAGTCAGAAACAGACATTGTAGCCATCCTCCAACTCCATGCATTTACTAAAAAAAATAAAGCCGCTTCAGCAACTCATTACACAAAAGATAAATAAATGATTCACCCCAGTTCCAGAATAACTAAAAAGCCCACGTCCTAGCAAAATCCCTTGTGTGCGCGTGTGTAACATCAAATACAAAGCAAAAGCACCCCATTTACGCCCCTGATTGTTGCATCCCTCGTGGCAAACCATGTATGTAGAAATGGTTGTCCACCAAGCCAGCCCACCATATCCCGTGTCGGTGCCCGCTTCCAAATACTTCTGCCTGCTCTGCTGCGTCGCCGTTGAAGAATACCGGTCTGTATGATGTCTTGCATCACTGGGAGAACGAGGTTGTTTGGCCGCCGCCTTAGAGTGTGCAAGGATCGGGAAAATCGCATCGAACGCCCGGTGCTTCCTACGTTTATATAAGCTCCGGGTTGCATCCCTTTGCTGACAGACATCCGTCCTCCTTCTGCATTATTCTTTTTTTCGTTGTTATCGTGGGTGGTGTTGTTCGTGGATTGCGATAGCTTAGAACAAGATATCCAAGCAGCAGCAGCAGGCCATACCGGCTAAGCACGCCTCGAAGAAGCCCTGTTCATCACATTTCGGTCAGTACATCATTCTGTTTAAGAGACGCGAACGAGCGCAAAGTTGGAAATAACGTACAGGTCCCTTCTTCTCCCGTTGCTGAGGCGGGTAGTACTGCCCCTGCGGGGGATACGGGCCCTGCTGCTGGTAGTACGCGCCGGGAGGTGGCTGCTGGCCGTAGCCCATCTGAGGACCCTGCTGGTAATGGGGCTGTTGGTGATCGTAGGGACCCTGAGGAGGAGGGCCGCCCTGGGGCGGGTAATACGCTTGCTGGGGAGCGCCGGGGGGAGGAGCACCGTAGGCGGGAGGTTGATCGTACTTTTGCGACATGATTATTGATGGATTCGGTTGACGGGTGATGGTTTACCGATACGAGTGCGCGACAGGGACGATAGCGACGACGAGGCGAATTGAGGATTATTTGTTGCGGTCGATAAAAGGAGAGTTCCGGGAAAGGAGGGTTTGCGATAACAAAGTAAGCGAGGTCAAGAGATGGGGGGAGCGGTTTGGTTTATCAAGGTTTGACCTTGCGTGGCGATGACCAGGGGTTGGGAAACTTTGTTGTTCGCTCGGGTCCAAATACCATGAAATTTGGATGGAACGGTCGCGGGTGACGATGCGCAAGTCCGCTTCCGGGGCGGGGCAAGAGTGCTGAGATACTGAGTGGAACACGGGTGCGCAGCTGGCCTCGCGCCTCAAAAGCTAACGCGTACAGGTGATAGTGGAAGAATTCACGGGCGATCTGTGCTTTGCACAGTTTCAGGTGTTGGAGAGAGCAAAAGACCAGACGAAAAAGAGATGGAATCAAAGGAGAGCTGGATAGATGTATCAACCACAGACAAAGAACGGGATTAAATGGCAAATGGCAACGCAAGCCGCCAAGTTCAGTTCGCATATCACGGGAGCCTCGGGAAGGGTTGTTCAAGTCATCTCTGGTTTTGTCTTCTGCAGTCAAACCTTGTATGTCTCACTCGGGTCCCTATCATGTGCCACCACATTTTGGAAGATTGACACTCTGCATGTCCGTTCTTCACCGTACCTTGGAAGTGACTGCGCGATATCTCCGTAGCTGCGCCACGAAGCGTCGTCAGTCCACCTTTTGTCTTTGAGTGGCTGCTTTGAGTATTGAGCGGCAATGAGCTGAAACCAGCGTCTATGGGTATGAGGACGTTTTATCCTTTTTTTGAGCGTTCTTGAATTCGATATCGATAATGAGTGGAGTTGTTCGATGATATGATGAGTGATCGACAAGCCGTCGCTGCAACCTCGTGGTATTTAATGCAAGTTATGAACCCCACATTGCATCTTCATAACTTCTGCCGCCAGCTGCCACCGACTGGTGTCATCGGCGGCCTCCCTTTATCGATTGCTCTTGAGGTGGCATCATTGCATCAGCATATCGGCAACCCTTTTCAGTCGTCGGCATTTGCACGGGAACGATCGAAACTGCTCGACTCCGTTTGCTCCGTTCCCCGGTCAGGGTTACACCACCCAGCCTTTCCTCAGCGATTGTATTACCCCTTATTTCTTGGCAGGGGGTGAATCACCAACGCAACCAGATCTGTTAACCTGATCAGATCTCATACCCAGATAGCCCCACTTAAACACCACAACTCACATCTACACCCATCTACACGTATATACCCACCACCCATTCTTAACCTGAATCACCCTCTCAATCAACATGTCCCGCGAAACCCTCCCCTTCCCCACCAGCTCCATCCCCCCCCTAGAACCTTACCTCCCCCCTCCATCCAGCATCCCCGCCACCAACCCTTCCCAAAACCCAAGCCCTAAAATCCACCTCACCCTAACCTACGCCACCTCCCTCGACGCCTCTTTGTCTCTCTCCCCCGGGACTCGCACCATGCTCTCCGGCCCCCACTCCAAAGCAATGACGCACTACCTCCGCACCCGCCACGACGCCATCCTGGTAGGTTGCACAACCGCCATAGTCGACAACCCCGCCCTCAACTCCCGGTTGGAAACCATCTCCTCTCTTGATCAACAACCTCGCCCTGTCATCCTCGACCCAAAAGGGAGGTGGGACTTTGACGAGGATAGTCAGGTGATTAGATTGGCGGCGGAGTGGAAGGGGAAGGGACCTTGGGTGGTGGTTGGAAGGGGGCTGGAGGGGGAGGAGAACTTGAAAGAGAGGGGGGAGTTATTGGAGCGGGTAGGGGGGAGGTATTTGTTTTTGGAGGGGGAGGGGGGAAAAGGGAGGTTTACCTGGGGGGGATATTGGGTGCTTTAGGGAAGGAGGGGATAAGGAGTGTGATGGTGGAGGGCGGGGGGGAGGTGATTAATTCGCTGCTGGCAGAGCCGGAGAATAGATGGGTGGATTCGGTGATTGTTACTGTTGCGCCTACTTGGTTGGGTAAGGGGGGGGTGGTGGTGTCGCCGCCGAGACGGGAGGGGCAGCAGCCGCAGCTGAGGTTGAGGGATGTGAGTTGGCAGCCTCATGGGGAGGATGTGGTGCTTTGTGGAAGGATTTTACGGGATTGAATGAGCTAGCTGGGAGTGCCTGTTTTTGGTATGTACATACTTATGATGCTAGGTATGGAAAAAATGGGGAGATGGCTAGACATGCCCAACCCATTTGATCTCCAACCACCTAAACAAAACATACCCCAACCCCGTCACGACAAAAGCGCTCTCGAACCCTATATCGCCCGTGAGTTTCGCAACCGGCCCTGTATACCAAGGCGCCGCCATCCCCGGCACCACCAACCCCAAACTAACCAAACTCGCCCCCAACGCCGCTACCCCCGGTGGCAGTCTTCGTCCCACATTCCAAATAGCATGATCATAACTCCCATAATCCCCCTTTCTAAACACCACCAACTCTGTTATCACCACCGCATCAAAGCACCCCGCCCAGTACCCAATCACCGCCAAAAAGTTCGCCAAGCTCTCCTCCCACGCCTCGGCAGCTTTGATCGCAAATGGAATGAGTAAACCCATGGCGACAAAAATGAAGAAGAAGCGGTGGACTTGTGCGAAGAAGGGGAGGAGCTGCTGGAGGTTGACAGAGATGGAATACATGGAGATGGCGATGTTGCCTATGACGGACAGCGCTAAAAGGACGAGGATGAATTTGCCAAAGTTGCCGAGGACGGGGACGAGCATTTGGTAAAAGATGCCGCCGATGCCGGTGGTGGCGTAGGCGGAGGACCAGGAGGGGATGTTGGGGGTGCAGCCGCCGATGGCGGCCCCGAGGATCATCAGGGGCACGGAGGGGAGGAGGAGGCCGAGGTAGGTGTAGGTGAAGACGCGGAATCTGTGCCATTCAAGAGGATGGTTAGTTGCTGTGTGGTAGGGGGACGAGTTTGTGCGCTAGAAGGGAAGGTATAGGAAACAGAGGGCTTACCTAGAGACGACGTTTGGCTTGTGGTAGATGCTGTAATCTGATACTGTGCCACCAAACGTGATAAAGTATCCCGCGATGAGACAGCCGTAGGTCATGACCTGAGGAGCAGTGGCCGGCGGGTTGTCAGTTTGTAAGTGGAGGTACTTCCCCCGCAACCCAAGGCGATGACGATGGCGATGAGGTTGGGGATCCAAGTCCATCTCTCCCAGAAGTGGACTGCTCTGAAGCCGAGAAGGGAGACAGCAAAGGAGACGAGGCAAGTGATGATTATACCAATGTTGACAGAGAGCTGGTCTGGGTTGAGAGAGGCGAGGGTCTGGCCGCCTACTACTGCTGACAGCAGTGAAAAGCCCGTCAAGGTGGCAGCATTCAGGAGGAGGGGAATGGTGACCAGGTACCGGCTGGGCGGGTTAGTAAGTCAAGTGAGAAATAAAGTAGAAATTATTACATACCCGAAGGAATACCTGGCTTGGATCAGCTGCCGTAGGCCAGTCTCCATGCCACCGATAATCATAAAGGCAGGCGGGATGCATGTCAACATGGCAAAGAAAATGATGACGAGAGAGGCGTCTCTCAGGTTCATGCCCATACCCAACGTGGCCAACATGCCGGTTGGGATACTAGGGCCAGGAAATTCAGATTAGTGAGACCCATGATGACAGAAATACGAGAAAATGGGCTTACGGCAGCAGACAGAGGAGGCAGGTGAAGAAGACGGTGAACAAGTTGTTGTACTGGGTACATGTCCGCTGCTCGAGAGGCACTGGCTTGATGCCATTCTCTTCGACGCCGATATCGAGCAGCTTCTGGTACCACTTTGGGTTGTTGTCGGGATGAGCTTCGTAGACTTCGCCATCCTTGACCGCGAGGATGGACGTCAGGGCACTCTTGAACGAGTGAGGCTCCTGTCTCTCGAGGTCTGAGTCCTGAGAGTGGCTCATGTTGGTGACTGAGAGGGTTCTATCCCGTAATATAACGCAAAACGTCGAGGGCAACAGCAGG